TTAATAGACCGCCTGAGGCTTGCTCTATGATCTCACAGACTAAATTTTGGTTACTGACCAAAGTTTCCTAAATAACTACAATTTCTAAATGTAAAATTGTTGTGACAGGTTTCAGTTTCTTAAAAATAAATTGTTCCTGAGGATTTTCTTCTCTAATATGTAGATAATAAACCAAAGGTACCTTGTTAAGTTTGTCCAGTGGGCAACAAAGGCTAGATCACAACCCCTTACCCATAAGAACCTGATAGTTTTCCTGTTAGTCTCCACTTGCAAATTGCACAGAACCATTCTGTGCTACTTTTCAGCAGCCTGTACTTTCTTTTTAAAATATTTTGTAGAATGTATATAATTTTGGTGAAATTCAGGGTCTAAAATAACTACAGAAAATTGAATATAATGTGAGAGTCTGTGGAATTTAAAGAATGATATTTCCATGCCAGAGCTTACAGTACAGTAACTTGCATCTCTTAACATCTGTGGAAGACTGGATTGTTCATTGGCTATTTAGAAAATATAGGTCAACTCAAATATTTCAACTAAGCGATTTCTGTAGGATTTTAGATCTATAAATTCTGCATTTCTTTATAATGTATTAGAAGTTTCCCAATAGTTGCTAAACTATGCCATTATTTTAAGGCAAAATTCTGTAATATTTCTGGTAGGTATTATTCTCTTCAGAAATAACCTCTCCGATAGGGTACTTCACAAATTATAACTCCGAGTAGAGACTGTTTCACATAACTCAAATTGACTTGCCTATACAATATCTAAAAGTACTTTTCTAACATCTAACAGGATGAATGTGTTCTATTTTTCACAGAAGTGAATAAGAAAAAAATTCAGATCTTAGTCATACTAGTTGTATTATTTGTTTCTTCTTCTGATTTTTTAAATTAAACTCCCAATAATAGAGGCTTTTTAATTTTTAGAAAATATTAATTATTTCTATTTTAATTGTATATATTTGGGGGTAGAGAGTGATCATTTGATACATGGATACAAAGTACAATGATCAAATCTTTGTAGCCAACATTTCTATCTCCTTAAAATTTGTTTGAACTTTTGATTAACACCTAATAATTGCACATGTTTATGAGTCGCAGTATATTTCCATGCATGTGTACAATGCCCAGCATCAAATCGAAGTAATTTAGTTTCATTACTCTGTGTTTGGAGTGCTTGTCTTCTAGTAATTCATAAAATCTAAAATAGTTTTTGTAAAATCAGTAGTACCTTAAGAAGTTCCGTGTGTGCACATGTACTTAAGAAGTACCCTACCATGGATGTGATCATTATGCCAATACATTCTAACAAAAGAAAAAAACACAAAAAAACAAGGCTTTTGACAAAAAGACAATGATAAAAGTATAAAATGTTCCCCATTTTGCGATTATGGTATCGTAGGTGCTTAAAAAGACCTGATTGTTGTACAAAAGGATATATTGCCAGGCATGGTGGTGCATACCTATTGTCCCAGTACTGAGGAGGCTGAAGCAGGAGGATTGCCATGTGTTTGAGGCAAGTCTGAGTGACATAGTGAGTTCAAGGCCAGCCTGAACTATGTAGTGAGACCCTGTCTCAGAAAACAAAGAAAATAAAAGATTTATTACCTTCAGCACAAGATCTTTGGGTTTCAGCAGTCTTGGATTTGAATACCAATTATTTTCAATTGTTAGTATTTTAACAGACATCCTGCTTCCTCTCTTGGAGGCTGGAGGTCCTGGTGTGTGGGGTGGAGTGAGAACTGATTTCCTGTTATTATTACAGGATGTAAATAAGGAGAGGAGTAGTCTGGCTCATGCTCAGTACCTAGAAGCATTATTTCCTTTCCTTTGTCTTTACACTTGCTTTATCTTCTAATGCAACCAGCAGTTAACCCCGTGTGCCTGTGATTTTCATGTTTCCAGCAAAGAAACCTGTGTCCTGCATAAGGTGTTCATAGGGAATATGCTGCAAGTTTAGACAGAAGTGTCATTTTCATACATACTAGAAAAATATCTTTGGAATGAATAATGTATAAAGAAGTCGTATATCTTTAAATATAATCTTTTTATCAGTTCTATTCATGGACAAAGGATTCTTTCAAGAAATTTTTATACAAATTACCTTTTTATTCACTCAAAATATGCAATAACTGATGCGCTTCATACATATGTGCACACTGGATGTATAAAAAACCTTTCAGGGAACTGAAAATATGTGGATTTATTAACATATTCATGATGAGAAGGATACAATATTTAAACAGTGTCTGGTTTGGATTATGAGCTCTTTATTATTTAGATATTTTTCTGAAATTATGCTTGTTCTCATTAGTGTTTAAATACTATTACCTTGAAAAATATAAACTTAAAAAATCAAATTCACTTCAAAGATATCTAAATTTTCAAAAATCTACAAGAAGACAATTCCAAATAGTAGTTATGTTAAAGAAATTTCTTTAAACCTGAAAAGAAATACAGTTGAATCAATGGCATTGTCCATCAAGCCCAGGGTTTTCTAAGCAATAGAGTATTTTGTTGAAATTTACATTATAAAATTAGCCTTTTCAAAACTATCAACCTTTAATTTCCCTTATTATTATGTCCCATGGATTAAATGACCTTTAATTTTTATCTAACCTACTTTTGAATCATGTGAAGAAAATTACTTGATTTATATTTTCAGAAATATATTTGTCAAAGCTAACTAGAAAAGAAGGCAGAGAATAATAAGATTTTTGCAAGTTTTCAAAAGTTCATAGAATAAAGATGAAATGAGAAATGATTTAAATTTCAGTCTAGTACTAAGAAAGAAGCCATCTTTATGTGGCCTGAAAATAGATTTTATTCTGTATGCCCTTCAGTTAAAAAAAATAAAACATAAAAAATATCAAATTGCCATTCTTTGAGACATACCTCTGGAATGCAGGCACTAGGACATTGTTGCTAAAAAGGTTTTAAGAATATGATTTAGACAGTTCGTATTTTCCATGTATAGCATCCTTTAAAATTTCAGATCTTTTATTTTCACCTTATGAGGAATTCTCAATCTGGTACAATTTCCTGACTGAGTGTTTTTCTGTATTGTACAAGGTTCATGGTTGGATTATCATTTGCTCTATCTCCCACTCCTTTAGCATTAGCTAGGCCAATTACTTCCTAAGGTTTTCTTCAATTTTGATATCATCCCTAAGATTCCACTCTAATTCCTCCAGGTATTTAGGAATGATAACATAATGAAAGGTGCATGATATATCTGAAGTTACTTGAAATGCACATTTCATTCCCTTACCATTTAAACATACTTAATTAAAGCAGTATATTCTCCATCTCATCAAGTTTATCTTCTCATAGGAATCTTTTCATAAGCAATCTGGAAACCATTAAAAATTCCAATTTATTCATTGTATTGTATAAATATGGTGCAATTTTATTCATTCAATACTGCTAGGCATGGGGAAATCCACAGAAGGAAATTTTTAACAACTGAAGCTAACTTTATTAAGCACAGACACTGAGTACTTTGTTTTTGTAGATTTTTATTTCTTCGGGGTTTTTTTTGGTGTAATGAGTGCTTTTTTCTCATTTCTTGAGCAGCAAACGTGTGTTTAAACCTTAGATATGTAAGAGTTTGCTAACATTTGTCTGAATGTCAAAAATCAATTACATAAACAGACTGTTTGACCCAGAGATTTATTTTGCTCTCTAATTACTTTAATGTATCTTCTCCTTAGCAACACTACCCAAAACATTATATTAAGAAGTCAGTATTAAGCCACAATAAATGTGATAAGCTCCACTTAACTGCAGAAATTTCTAATAAATTTTATGCTGTTTGAAATGAAAAAAAATGTAAAAAATTTAAAAGATATAGATTATTTCTCTTGCTTGGTGTTTTTCTTTTTCTTTTTCTTTTATGTCTTCTTTCTTTGTACCTTTTATTTGTTTTCAATTTGAAAATAGGATACAAAGCTGGATTTCTAGATATTTGTTATCAAAGATTAATATAGACATCTACTAAATCAGGTCTTTAAATAATTCATTGCAACTCTAAGTGATTCAAATACTTCACAGCTCTGATTATAATACTAGTAAAATTTTATTGGTTTATTAACCATTTATATTAGTTGGCTTGGCATGGGTATAATTTTTTTGCTATAGGAAGAAATGATCTGATTCATATTATAAATGTAAAATATTAACTATATATTCTGGGCCATTTTCAATGAAATGATAGGCTCAACTTATGATGGGCAGCCATGGTGAAATTTTTTGACTGAGAAGAAGAGCATGGATCAGACTAGAAAGCACTTAGCAGGGGACTAATTTAGAAGACTTCTAAATGTAATGAATTCCATGTGAGAGACTCCAAGGACCAATTCTCCTTCTGGCTCTACCTTCCCACAAGGACCTTGCAGGCAGAAAATGTGTCTTAATCATATCGTTTTTCTCACCACATTTTATATTAATAATAACAAATTAGAAAAATTATCATGATTAATTTCTGTAAGTGCTCAGTATACGTTGCATTAATATTCCCAGGTATGTCACTGTGGTCGATTAACCCAGGTTAAAATGTATAACGGCTCATCCTCTATAATTGCTTTTGGCTTCAAATTAAAAGTCATAACTATGGTAACTAAGGCAACTAACATTTCCTTGTGCATATTTGTATGACAGGAAAAAACCTCAAAATTTTAATGAAGAAAATAAAGTTGCTAATGTCGAGAAATGAGATTGGGGCTTGATTAACTGATACACAGGAAAAAGGCTCTGGAGAGAAGAAATGAAGAAACCCAGAAACAGTACGAACTCAGTCCCGAGATGCGGGGAAACTGAAGGGAAGACCAGACGACTGTGATATTTAAATGACGGAGCGCGACCCTGGTGACCTGGACGCAGGTCAGAAATACAGTCGGAGGATTCGTCCTCCAGAGGAGTTTTCGTCATGTAAATTTTAGCGGAGAGAGGCATCCTGCGGTTTATTGTATGACCATAGTAAGCCATGGCGAGGAAGGTCCACGATGCCAGTTTCAGAGAAATCGTTAGACGGATTGGCTCTTCATCTCTCACCTGGCATTTTAACAATGTTTCTATTCGAAGAATACTTTTGAGTTTCTGGGAACTGGTGATCACATCTGTGATTTGAAAGTCGACTTACTTTTTGAAAAGCCTTTTATTTAATTAAGCAGCAAAAACAAACCTGTGTTTCCACCAGATGCTTATCACTGTAAGAGTAACAAGGAGACCCAAGAACTGCTCCCTCCCTGACTTTCAAGAACTTACTATTTTGATGATTCCAGGTACAGTCTAACTTAGATTCGCGGGGCTATGAAACGTTGAGCTGAGCTATTGATTGGAACCTCAATGAGGTGTTCAAACACGTTCAAACAAAATTCCAAAGGACTGTATTTAAATGAACCAACTGTAAAAGTAAATTTTAGAGAAACTCACAGTGACCTGCAACATAGCAGTAAGCTGCTAGATCAGAAAGGGTAGAGGTTCGAGGAGAAGGCCGTTAGCCGAAGGCGGACGCAGGTGGGCATCCGGGGCGGGACAGAGACATTCGACAGTGGACAGGGCGGCCTGTGCAGGATGGGCTCGAGGGGCAGCGATCGGGAAATGAGCGTCCTCCTCTGGTCTCCTCTCCCCTTGGCTCCCCCGTGTGGATTCCAGAGCGGAGGAGCAGGAGGAGAGCACACCCTGCCAGGGTCCCTCGCTTTGGTGCCTGAACGTTGCACCACCCGAAAATAGCAGAGGCCCCAGACCTTGGCAGCCTGGATAGAATGGCGGACTTTGGGAAGAATTTTGTCCCTCGGAGTTACGACCCAAACCTTCTTCCCCGCCGAACTTGAGTCTCGGGAGGGAGTCCACTCTGCTTAGTTCCCTCTCAGCAGGACTTCGGCAGCCCTGAGTAGGACAGGGTCGCATCAGCAGCATGGACCCCACTCCTCGCTCCGCAGCTTCCTGGCCCAGGTGTGGCCCACAGGCGGGGGAGCGCAAGCTGATCAGCCGACCCACGGGCTTGCGGCTCCTTCAAAACCTAACGCGGTCGCTGCAGATGCTACAGTCTTGGCCTCTGGCATTGTTTCCCTTCTCCTCTGTCCTGTACATTTTTACTTGCTTTGGATATGCTTGTTCTTTTTAATAGCTTTAAGATTTCATGCAACAAACCTTTTTCAAGGTTATAATTTAACCATTTACAACTTTTTCTTGCTTGGCTACTCCTCTTTTTTCTTGAACGACTTTGAAATTGATTTTTCTCAGAAACTCATATGATTGGAATTTTACTCAAATTGATGTGACTGCATAGTTTTCATTGATTTTTGTTAAAATTTCCTTTCTGCCTTTGTGTCTTTGTATTATTTTGTTCATATGGCTTATCCCCTCAGTTTGTTTGTCTTACTGGATTCTATTAAAACTGGATTCTACGAAGGAAACAATTTTTCAATTTTTTACTGCCTTCAAAGTTTAGCATTTGTACCTTTCTTCATTTATCTACATTGTTTCCAGTCTTGTCCCATTTCTCTGCGGTTGCTTTATTGTTCATTTTCTAGTATCTTTTACTGACGAGTGAGTTAATGACTTTGGTTCTTTTCCGTGGAAATTCTTTGCTATTTAAAAGTTCTAATTTTTGACAATTTTTTCTTTTTTACTAATTGTATTAGCAGTATTGTAGATTTGATTATTTGACTAATTTCCATCTGGCAGAAGGGTATCTGCTTTCTTGGTGTTTATTTGCATTCAGTATTTTAAGAAATATTTATTTTATTTATATTTCTTTTTTTACTCATATTCACACAGTTTTGTTATTTACTGAATTTCTTTTCTTGAAAGTTGTTAAACTTTTAATGGCTGAAGTTATGTTTCTTTTCTGTTAGCCCAAGAATGACATTCAGGCTGGCCTGGATAATTTTTTTTTAAGAAAATGATTTTCAGTTGATCGTTGTATTCTGGAATCTGTGATGTTTAAACAACTAGATTTGTCTTCTTTACTTATTTTTCAGATAAATACTGATGGTCTTAAATTTCATTTTAAGCCATATTATTAATTTTAAGGGTAAGATACCAGTCTTCAACACTAGGCTATGCTTTCGTGTTGCTCTATTTATTTTTTTGCATATAAAACTTCACATTTCCCAAATATGGCTTTATTTTTTTAATTTGACCTCTATTTTTTGTTATTTTTCAAGAGTATGTTGGTTTGCCAAATAGCATTATTTTTCTTTTAGTTATTCAATATTTTGTTTATTCTTTTTCATTGATTTCTTAAAAAATTTCTTTAGGTGGCTTCTATATCTATCACATTTTGCTAAGTAGCTAATGATTCTTTTCACTGCATACACTGAAATTATTAATTTTATGATCATATTTTTCATTTCAAGGCAATAGCTTTTAACTCAACTTGTCTTTCTTGTTCTCCTAATAGCTGTATTTTGTCCAAATCAAGATTGCCTTGATGCATGTTGACAAAACAAAACAAAAATAAAAGATTTTGCCAACTTTTTATATTTAAAAATATTATATTTATATTAGTAATATTATAGTTATAATTATAATTAATGTTAAAATACTGATTTCCTTTTAGCTAACTTTGAGCTTGAGAGGAGATTTGCTAACAAAATTATGGTCAGTGGCTGAAACAGTCATGGGTCTGGGAAAACACAAAATAGTCTCATTTTCTACATTATTATAAATTTGTACCCAAATCCTTTCATTTTCCTGAACAAAAAAATATTGCAAGGATCATTCAGTGAGATTGCTGGATTAAACAGTGGCTTTTTTTTTTTTTTTTTTTTTTTGCAAAAACTCCGGATTCTTCAATAATGGATCCATGTTACTCTCATTGCCATTTTTCACTTTATGTCATCTTATAACAACAATTCTTTGGATTTATTGTTAACTAGTTTAAAAATGTGTGGCCATTTTTTAAATACCCCATATTCTTTTTTTTCCATTAAGTTTATTGGTACATTTTAGGTATACAATCCAGTTACATTCATCACCCCCCATATTCTTTTGAGAAACAATTGAGTTTTTGGATAGGTTTCTTTATATTTTTATTTTTCACATTTGATAATTTTAATATTCTATCAAATGAAAAATAATTTTTTTTCTTTTTCACATTTTATACTTTAGGTCACCTCTATCATAGACTTCTTTGTGTTTATCAATACATTATATTCATGGATTATGTCATCATTAAACCATGCTATATTTGCTTGACAACAAATTAATCGTTCAAGGTCAGAATTCTATATGAAGTCATTAGGGCATGCTTAATTATGTTCTTCGTATTTTTTCTATATCTAAGTATTTTACTGTTTACCTCCCAACATTAGTAGGGGTATGTCGAAACCTTCCTCTATAATGATGGGCTTTTAAACTTACTCCTGTAGTGGTATCAATCTTGTAATAAGATATTTTGAAGTTAGTAATGCATGTCTGAGTTCATTACATTGGTAGATATGTGCAGATGTAGACATACATGTGCGTGCCCACATTTCTGCATCAGAGTATATAAATAGATGGATCTATGTCTACTGTATCTAGATCATAAACTAGTTTTCCTAGTGAGCAGACACCCTATCTACTCTACAGGGTTCTTTTTGTCTTAAAGCTATGTCAAGTACAGAAGATAGGTTTTTGCTAAAAGAAAAGTTTTAATAACTATTTCCTTTTAATTCTATAATGGTAGAAATTCATTCCTTTGGTTTAATTTATTGACATGAGTTTCCTTTTGATCTAATTTGTTACTTTGCTATGGTCAGTCTTTTCTCTCTAGTTGTTTTCTCTTGAAAATTTCCCTATTTGATTTTAATTTGGTTTTACAATCTTCATATCGTGTGATCAAGTATGCAATTTTCTATTGAGTTTAGTATCGCCTTATGTCTGTGGATTCAGGTCTGGATTTAATAATGAAAAGTCCTCAATATATATGCATATTAATTTTACAGAATTTTGGGTTTCTTGATGCGTGTGTATAACATACTGTGATCATATTCATGGTTCTCAAAATGTTTTCTTTCTTCTATTTCGACTGTTCTCTCCATTTGTCTCTAAAGATGTAATTTTATCTTCCATAATTTTAAATCACAAATTTGTATTTCTAGCTTCTTGCTTACCTAACTCCTTGCTTACAAATGCCTTGCAATTTTCTTATTGCTTTCACAGTATGACTAATCCGCTTTCTCAAATCCACCCATACATTTTTAAATTAAAAATCAATATTCTATTTTAGTAGTTCCAGTTTGTTGTTTGGTGGTACTGAACATTGAACCCAGGGCCCTCAGACACGCTAAGCAAGTGTTCTACCGCTCTGCCACTGAACTGCATCCACAGCCCTGCTGTTCTCCTGAACATTTGCGACAGCCTCTTGCTTCATATTCTGTTTCGTTCCTCTCTTCCAGGGCATGGAAAACTTCTGCTTTAAGGGCCGGATGTTTATTATGTATTTTACATATATCAGCCACACAGTCTCTGTTGCATCGGGTCAGTCCTGCAGTTGTAGTGCAAATACAGACAGCAATTCACAAACCAATGAAGAGGTCTGTATTGCAGTAATATTTTACTAACAAAAATATGTGACTGTCATATGGACTGTAGTTTGACAATCAACACGTTTCACAATGTAGCTGTTTCTATGGTGAATGGATAGATGGGTTATGTAATCCAGATAATATAAAATGGTATAAAATTAGATAATTATATATACTGTGTGAATACAATATTTATAGAAACATATAATATTTGTAGTTTGTAGATAATATGTAATTCTAGAGCATTTATAATGCATATAGATATATAATATACAAGACATATTTATAATTAGATCATTATATATTTATACAAGAATATATATGTATTTACGGTATGTAAATTATATATAATTATATATCTATGTGTTATAGATATATGGCCAAGCATATATATTCTAAATTCAATTCCTTAACAGATATATGATTTGCAATTATACTTTCTTATTCTATAGGTTGACTTTTTCTTTCTTTCTGTCCTTTAAAGCACAAAATTTTTAATTTTGATGAAGGGTGATTTATAGTTTATGAGGTTTTCTCTTTCATCACTGTGCGTTTACAGTCTTATCTAAGAAGGTTTTGGTTGATTCCATGCCACCATAATTTACTCCTATCTTTTCTTCTGAGTTCTATCATTAGTTCCTTCATTTAGGCTTATGATCATATGAAGTTAATTGTTCTATAGGGTGTTAGGAAAATTTCTATCTTTTTTCTTTTGCCTGTGGCTATTATGAAAATATTCTTCCTCTATTGCATCGTTTTATTCCCTTTTTTAAAAAAGCAACTTACCTTAAATGTAAAATTTATTTCTCAACTCTTAATTTTATTTCATTATATATACTTGTATTATTGATTAGTGCAGTTTTGTGGTGAGCTTTGATTTAGTTTTCTGAAGCCAAATCTATTTTATTATGAATTTTAAGAAAGTTTGGTTGGAATTGCAATTTGGAGAATACTACTATCTTTAACAATATTTAATCTTCCAGCCTCTGAACATGAAATGTATTTCCCTTTTTTGAGATCATTTTTAATTTCCTTAAGTAATGTCTTCTGGTTCTTTTGTCAAGTTTACCACAAAATATTTTTGTATTGTAATGGAATTATTTTTTTAAATTTCATTTTTGGATTATACTATATAAAAATACAATGGACTTTTGTATATTGATCTTTTGCCCCAAAACTTTGCTGAATTATTTTATTAGTTCTAATACTTTTTAAGAAATTCCTTAAGATTTTGTTTTTATAAAATCATCTCATCTGCAAATAGAGACACATTTATTCTTTTTCTTACAATTTTTATGTCTTTCAAAGAAATTGTGAAGGTTGAGAAAAGATGACCTATACTGGCAGGTAACTGAAATCATGTACCAAAAGAAATAAATCAGTGGTGATTGAAATTCTGATTAAATAAATGTCAGGTGCACTACCACTTTCATTTGACTCTACGTGGCTGAATTATTTACCTATTATTCCTTAAACTGTCTCCAGTTAGAAATGTCATTACTTTGAAAGTTTACAATGAGACAACTTTCCGAGGAGAGTTAAACACATCAAGTTAGAAACTGAAGTGTTCACAGGAGCACAGAACTAAAGGGCCCATCGTATGTTCTTGGCCTCTCTAACCTGATTCCAGCACATGACCTCACCATGTGGTGCCATGATGTGGAGATGTAAATATATGTGACTACAGAGGAGCAATTAACTCTAACAAGTCACCAAAATGGAGATGACCAGGAAGGAACTAGGACAAAAGCATACTTCTTTTCTGGTAGATACCGAGTCTCCGGCCCACAAATACTTTCAATCTTGTTTGTATCTTATCATTTGAAGGAAACTCATATAACATAGGGAACCTAGATGGCAGCAGAGGCCCCGAGATACGAGCCATGAAATCATAAGAATAACTTTCATGGTTGTTCTTTTTAGGCAGAACTCAGAGGTACATTCTGGAGTCAGGACTGTTGCTGACTTTTTTTCCTACCAACAACTTACAGACGTTTCTCCTTTTCCCTTTGAAGGCAGTAAAGGGGAAATTTGAGGTTGTACTACCACAATGTGCCCTGAAAATTATTTCTTTTTATAGGTACTTTTGGGCAGCTGCCCTCATCACATGTGATACACTTCATGCTTATTACATTGACTTTTCATAGACCCATAGAGGCAGACAGATAAAACTCACCAAAAACATAAAGGTAGCAGGTAGGTGAAAAATATACATTTTCCTCTTAGGGACAGATTTAAACTTTCAGACTGGTTTAAGTACCAGAATTTTTATCATTTTGTACAAATCACTGAAATAAGACCAGACTCTAAACTTCAAAATATTTCAACTTTAAGCAGTGTTATTCTTCCCATACTCACAGTCTAAGGAAGAAGAGATGAATTTAATATTAACAAAGAACAAAGTGCTTTATATTTGCATATAAATATTTAAATCACACATCATCTATACAATGAATTTGTACCTTCTATCTATGGCCTATAAGTTGTTTTAGATTTTAAATTCTTCAGATTCTAACATTGTATCTTTCTCTTCTTTTCCTTTTCATTAAATTGTTCTTTTCCACATGTGTACTTCAGTGCTTCCAAAGTGCCTGGCAAATCGTGACCACACGCTCCCTTAGTTCAGCTTTGTCATATTTTACATTTTACTAAAGTTAGAGGTAGTGAAGTGCTGGATGATTCTAAAACATCTTGTTTTACACCTCTAAAACTCATCTTTAAACTATCTGCTCTATGTGAAGCGGGTATTTAGTAAGCTGTGCTGAGTTAAGGTTTAAGTAGCTAGAGCTGATAGTAAAGTACAGCTGCTGAGATGGAAAATAACTGCTAATACACTGTGGTGTATAGCCACGGAGCTCGCAATTAAGCTACGCTGTGTTCTTGCAACCATTAACAACTCCAAAGCCTGTTAATATCAGATAAGGTCACCCTGCTACCTTGATGGGACAAGAAAAAACACCATTAAGTGTGAGCATCTCTGTGATCAAGCATCCCGCTCTACTGGCAAATGGGCAAGCCTACTGCCTCTCCCAATGCAACATCAGCCCCGCTTGGCTTCTCTTATTCGCCTAGATAGGAATTAATACTCTGCCAATCACAGTTTAGCCCTATGACCTGATGCACCCCATTCCAAAGAAACCACACTTCCTTAAAACGTTCCCGCACATTTCCCAGCGTAAAATCAGATGTACAATAATCTTACCCTGACATCCTCTTTCTTAGATGACACTCATGGTGTCTCTGGATCAAGAGTGCCTGAACTGCAGAAAGTTAATACAGCTGCTGGACGGGATCTCCAGAATCTCCGGAAGGTCTATGACTCAAAGTCTTCTTCCCTTGAATGGCACTACTGGTAGGTGGTGGACTCCCCACGGGATGTTCCTTGATCACTGGGAATGAGTCCTTGTGAGCCATGGGGGGACCCAGACCCTTTCTCTGTCTCTTCCTTGGATTCCCGATCATGAATCGAGCAGCTGCTTTGGCACAAAATCCCACTACCATGTGCTATGTGGGCTCAGGCCCCAAGCAGTGGGGCTATTTGTGGCCTAGAACCTGCAAAGCTGAGCACTAACATAAACATTTTCTCTTCACTAGCTAATTATCTCAGAAATTTTATTATCATGGAGAATAAATGTCTAAATAGGTTTGACGGTAGGTGTATGTTGGTGGATTTGGGCACTGGGATTTACCTCCATGTCTTTATATGCAAATATAAAAACGTCTTCGGGTATATGCATTAAAGTTTCTTGCAGTGGTGGATACAGATAAGGACAGAAAGAGATACACTAGTGTGGAGCCGAGGTCCAGGCAAGGATTTAATAAGTAAGTACCCCACAAATGAACATGGGAACAGAATGAATAGATAACCGTATTTCCGGCAGACACATGATGACAACAGTGAGACTGGGTCACTCTCTAAGATGTGACTAAGACAGCAAAGTAAATAGCTTTGCGTCTTGAGAATGTGCGCCCCGTTCCGGGAGGTCACCGTGGGGTCCTGGGGGAGCACAAGCACTGGTCACACTCTTTGCTCTTGCCTTTCAGTCAGAGCAGATCCTGAGCTTCCCTCCCTCCCTCCACTGGGTCTGTTGAAAACCACGTTTCCATGGTAACATTAGGCTTTGGGGTGCAGTCAGGATATTGGCATCAGACTTTTTTACCACCAGCCTTGCAGCCTCTCCGCTTGCTCAACTGGTCCTTCGGTCAGACGTCTTGGTCCTCGTGAGTTGGGGACCAGCCCAGGACCCTGGTCCAGTATGTGGAGGGGCTAGGCCCTGTCTCCAGTTCCAGTCTCACTTTGCTTCCATCAATGTGGTTTGTCACACAGAGGCCTGGTGGACGTGGACGAGGAGCTCTGCTGGCTTCATCGAGGCACTGCCCACTCTGGATTGGAGATCCGAACCCTGGTTTCCTTCCCTGTCCCCACACTGTACCGATCTTAGCTACCTCTCTTAGACTGACTCAGTTTATCTAACTGGACTTCATGAATCTCATTGGGAATCTCACTGAGAAAAATGCAATTTTCTTCAAGAAGTGGTACGTTTTCTTAAAGTGAAGAAAAGTGAAGCAGGGACAGAAATGTGTGTGTGTGTGTGTGTGTGTGTGTGTGTGAGAGAGAGAGAGAGAGAGAGAGAGAGAGAGACGAGGGAGACCATGAAGTGTGAGACAGCACACACTGTGCGCTTCTGAGTGCACCAATGGGGGCAGCAAAGATTTCACAAGCATTCCCACTTTTTTCTGCTCCATTCAATAGGCAAACCGCTGGAAATTAATTAAGTAACACATGGAAAGGGAAGGGATTCAAATGATTTTTACTAGCTGACAGATTCTGAGTTGATATTTTTCTTTATAATTCTCTCTCAAGCTAAAGATTTAAGCATCAGTAAATGAAAACCAATAAGACATGTACACAGAATATTGACATCTAAAAGACTAATGCAGGAGTACCTAGGTTCTCCAGGGTTTGCATTTAATAGTAATGTATATTAGATTATATATTACACATTTATAATTTATATTGAATAAAACATTTAGAAGAATTAACCATCATTTACCTGATATACAGTAATTATAGAAAATAAAAATAGAAACAGCGCAGTCTGAGGAATTTTTGATTATTAAATGAAGTAAAAGTTAAATTGAATTAGTCTTGTGACTTAAAAGTTTAAATTTAAATAAATATTCCAGTGATAGTAACAGCAGTATAACAACATGCATGAAGTGCAAGACACTCTATTTGATTTTAAGTATTACAGTTTTTATTTTCTCAACTGAGTCTTAAATAATAGCCAGAATATGTAGTTGGTTCATTAAATACATTATGTAAAAACAACAATATCCCAGTGAGTCAGGCATTTTTAATTTGTAAAATATGTATCTGATAAAGGGTTACTATTTATAATATATAAATAATTTAAGTAGCACATTGATAAGAAAATACCCAATTAGAAGATAGGCAAAAGACCTTAGTTGACATCTCTCAAGATACGCAAGTGGCCAAGAGATACGTAAAAACTGTTCAAGCTCAGTAATTGTCAGAGAAATACAAATTAAAATCACTTCACACTTGTTAGGATGACTATTATCACAAATGAAGAGGTAAGGCTTGGTGTGGGCATGGAGAACAGGGAATCCTTGTGTGTTGTTGGTAAGAAAGTAAATTCATACAACCATTATGAAAGTCAGTGTGGAATTTCCTTAAAAATTAAAAAGTAAAACTACTCTATGACCCAGGAATTCCACTGCGGAGTATAGATGAACAGGAAATGAAATTAAAAAATGAAGAGATGTCTGCCCTTCTGTGGTAGCTGCAGTGCTATTCACAAGAGCCAAGGTAGAGCGCTAACCTCAAGCTTGGTGTCCACTCACTGGAGACTGAGTAAAGAAAATGTAACACATACGCCTGGCGGACACAATTCAGCTGCAGAAAGAAGGAGAACCTGGTATTGGTGATACCATGGAATAACCTGAGTTCACCCTATTTTTGATAACCTTCACTGAGCAGCTACTTACAGCAATTTCTATCAAATAAAAACATTATGGTCTCGTATCATGTGATTCTGGCTCTTTCCCATAGTCCAAATGACCAGGAAATGTAAATGTTTTGAATTTATTCAGGACGTTAAAGCAGCCACATGATGTAACTAAAGACTCTAGTGAGAGAGGACTTCCTGAATTGTGTCAGAAAGTGGCAAAAGTGATGGGATGATGTTTTTGAAGTGAGGGGGATGATTTTGAGGAATATTAAGGGCAATGGTTTCTTTCACTACAAAATTTTAAAATTTAAACATTAACCGTATTTTTATCATTCTGATATAGTAAGGGAACTATGCCAGCCACATATAAAAGAAAAACTCCACAGGAGCATATTAATATGTGGGATCTAAGAAATTTGATCTCTTTGAAGAAGAGCAGAATAATGGTTATGAGGGGTGAGGTGTCAGGAGAATCAAGGAGATGTCTGAAAAAGGCACAAAATTCCAACAGGAGGAATACGTTTACAACATGAAGACTATACTTAATAGTAAGCTGTACTATATTGAATAATGCACTGTATCCTTGAAAACCCCCAAGAGAGTGCATGTGAGGAGTTCTCACAAAAAATGATATCCATGTGTGTTACACATATGTTTGTTAGCTAGATTTAATCATTCACGATATATATGCAGTTCAAAATACCATGTTATACATAATAAGCACGTGTAACTTATTTTAATTTAAAAATTAAATGAAGGAAAATGGAGAGAAAAATTCTAGTTTTCCAACTTTGATTTCCCTGTTTTGATATTGTTCTAAAGTTGTCCAAGACGATGCCTTTGGAGATGTTACGAAACCTGTTCATGTAACTCTCTGTGGTCCAGGAATTATTTCCAAATTAAAGTTAAGAAAAACACTGTGTACTAAAGAATTGTTATTTAAAAGGAAAAAGAGGGAAGACTTTGGGACTAAAAGAGAAGAATAGACATTTTTACCAACTGGAGAACCAAAAAAAGAAGAGAAATTGAATTTTTGTATAGAGCAGATTGTCCTGTTTCATAATACTAGTGAAAACCTGCACTATCCTTTTGTAATGAATCTCCTCACATCTCTGTTAGAGACCGCAAACAATGCTGGCAATGAAACAAGCAGTTTTACAGTTTTGTTTTGGAATACTAACTAGGCTTTACACAGACTTAGCGTGGTGGCACCTTAGAATTCCAGAACTTGCCTAATGAGGCTCAACTTGCCTGAACTCACAAGTGACTGATGCTGACAAAGACACAAACTAGTTCATATTTAAATCACATTTAAGTAGTTTCCCTAATGCAGCTTTTAACCAGATTATAACTTTTGTAAAAGTGGATAGTCATTTATGTATTTTTTACATTGATCGCATGGAGTGCTGAAAAACAGGTTTGTTACACATTTTTTAGCTACCTCACTTTGATCATATTTATATAAATACCTTTTAATAGCAATAGACATGTATATTTTTAAATAACAAAAATTTAAAAAACAAAAACTCGGAACAAAAGGAGATGAAAATATCTACTAGTTTTTGCTGGATGTACAGTCATCCTGAAAAGTGATTATAATGAGTTTTTATGACTAATGTACTTTCGTAAAAATTTACTCAGGAATTCTTAGTTATGTAAAAGTACAAGATAAATGATCCACATCAGTGTCTCCAACCTTTAGGTCTTATGAATTAGTGATAGACCCAGTTGCTTAATTCAAAAATATTGGGAAATATTTTTCCCAATATTAGTACATATGTATATACACACACACATATATGCATTTGGGAAATATTTTTCTACAAAGGCAGATTCTTCCCAGGTAACACACCTAGGAATACATTAGGTTCAAAAAGTCCTACAAATCTGCATTTTAATACTTACACTATGTACACAGGCAAAAGAACAATGTGAATACTTAGCATGAAAAAGAGTTGGCCAATTCAAATAAATGAAAACAACTGGTTCCCCAGATTTTGTAGAAAAGAGCTGATCATCTCCTGGAACTCCACCCTGGACGGAAATCTGGGAAGCGAGAGCAGCTACAGTTTGTGAGAGAGGGAGAGCCTTGCATCCTTTCCCTGGTTCCCCTGGTGGTCTGACCAGGGAGTCTCTGTGGGATGTCAAATGGGTTCTATAGCAGTCGTCAGCTTTGTGCTGGCATGAGAGCTCATACAGATGCCCTCAATCATGACTGAGGAAGCGCTTCAGCCCACTGTCTCCAAGCATGGCCAGATCAAGGAGTCCACGTACAATAGCTCGGACTGTTGGCAGAGACTGCCTAGAGTTACCAGAGGGAAGTGGAGACATTCATCGACAGTACTGATGGGTCACACTGCACGTCAGTTATTACTCCAGAACAGTTTGTGGAAGAAAAAGAAAAGAGCCAAGCCTTTGAAGGCAACTAGGTTTAGGATTATATTGTGTTTTTTTCACTGAAGTATTAGTTTTAAAATTTCAATTCACCTTTAAATAGGGATAATGATGCCAATAAAGTCAGACTTTTGAGAGGATTAAAAGACCTAAAAAAAGCTGAAAACTGCTAAGCAAAAATACGCTTTACTTTCTTCACCTCAATTTGTTTGACCTGAACACATTTTGAATCTCTTTTCTCAATTTCATCATGTGTTTCTAAATCTTATTTTTTACTTCCATTCAAAAATATCAGTAGTTTTCATAAAGTGCTGGGAAAGAAAATGTAATTATAGCCTGTTGTAAAAGTAAGGATTTTGAGCACTTGGTTTCCTTCCTTTAACAGTACCTATTTTTGCTTTTTTTTTTTGTACTGGGGATCAAACTCGGGACCTTGCACTTGCGAGGCAGGTGACAGCACCGCTGAGCTACATCCTCGGCCCTATTTTTGCTTTTGACTGCTTTTGAACAAACATTCAAGTAAACTGAGATATCTTTTATAATTTTTGAAATATTTTTAATTTTACTTGGATTTTATTTTTAAGACCTCATAAACTCAAATGTAATTTTACTTCTCTTTTCTAATGAAAACATTTACGTTTTATGATGTAACAATATATAAGAGCATAAAGTTCTGAACACTATTCTGTAATTGAATCTGGCTGTCTTCACTAATCAGTTTTAGTTTTACAGTTTTGATTTACAGCTCTCCTTTGTTTGGAAGCACTTGGGCATTATGTTTTAAACATACAGGTAAGTGGACCTAATGTGGCTGATGCTCTTTTCCTATTACACAGAAACATTTAAAAGTCAGTGCAGGGCATGATGAGAAGCCAACAAGACAGACTGCAGGCAAGAACATGCCCAGAGACAAACAAATACTTGTTATAAGAATTTTATTAGAAAGCTGAGCCTTAATAAAAAGCAAACCCTACTGAAGAAAAAGTAAAGTGTACTTAAATCATTCTCAAGTGAATTTGGTTACTAACGTGGGAAAATACTTTCATGTGATGATAATTTCAATTTCTGAAGTTGTTCTATATAACTGACTATGTCATTGCTAGAATACATTTCTAGGATATCTTTAATGCACTGGAAATTTTGAAAGCAATCACTTGATGTTCTGAAATGCAAAACAATTCAGTTACTAATGTTCAAGTATAATAATAAGCTACCTCGGGGATTGGGAATTATCTTTTTTAACTCTCTCCTCCCCTCCCCTTTACTCTTTTCCCCTCTCCTTTACCCTCCTCCCTGCCTCTCCTCGCCTCTCTTGTCTTTTGGAGACAGGGTTTTGCTATGTTTCCTAGACTGGCCTCAAACTCTTGGGCTGAAGGAGCCTGACAACTTTAGCCTCCTGGGTATTGGGGTACATGACACAAGCCCATCTTTATCTTTTACTTTTTACAGGAGTCTAAATTCTCCAAAGTAAATACAAGGCAGGATGACGGCTGAGAACAACTCACAACTGGCACATCAAATGACCTCCACAAGGCCTCAGAAATCAGTTAATAACCCTTTCACATCGTCTTAGAATAAACCAAAGAGACACATGGAGGAAGTTAAGAAGAAAGGAGTTGCTACATCACCTGTCCCTGAAATCGAAGGATCCCAGCATGGAAAGAGTTGACACTCTCTTGGGGAAAGGGAGAGAGAATTAAGTCCAAGCCCTAGACTTGAAATCCAGGACCAAGCCTTCCAGAGTGGATCCCAGAGCTGAGCAGAGGCCCATGAGCAAACCCCCTGGACACATGGGTACACTGAGCCTCTGGAACTGCCTTAGGTAGGTGTCAGCACCTTGCTCAGTAGCTGGTGGCAGAGTTGGACAGGAGTACGTGGTGGGGAGCTGGGCTTTGTCTTGGAGCCCAGCGCCAATTCCACCATAGTGGAGCTCAGCACAGAGTAGAAACTGAAGGCCCCACTCACAGGTTGAAGTTTGTGGACTAAGCTATGCCTGCCCCACCATGAGGTTGGTAGGGACCTGTGTACCCAAGGGGCAGACTAGAGTTTAAGCTTGCCATTTTTAGCTTTGGAGCTGAGCTGGGGGCACACACAAACTCATCTTATGATTGTGCAAGTCCTATGACTATGAGACTCAAGTGCATCCCAGCAGAACATCAGCCTACATGGCCGAGAGCCTTCCCTCCCCAACACGGTGCCAACCTCATGTTGAAGACCCGATGCCCTGGTGGGTGGAGGGTATGGCAGTTAGCACAAGTGGAACTCGGTGATGGGCTAGTGAAATCTAACACTGAGCAGATCCTAATGGCCCCGTGCCCAAGCCTGCCTGTGGGTAGAAGCTCTGAAATAGCTCAGTGCTGAGGAAAGAGGCATGACCTCCATTGAGTGGGGATCTGTTCCCTCTAGCATCACCTGTCGCTCATTGGATCAGTCACCCATGAGTTCAGCTCAGCAGTAGACAGCTCATTGCAGCACGCCCCTTGATGCTACTCAGCTGCTCTGCTCTCTTGGTGAACTGTGGACTTGGGATGAGACACATTTTCCTGGCACTGGTGACAAAAGGTGTGACTCTTCTGAGAGTCTGACAGATTTCTGTAGGGTCTGACCAGAGGCTAGTAACTGTGGGTGAGGTGTCTGGGCCTACCATGGTCCCAGAGAAAGTCTTCTGAGATTGATTACTTTTTCTAGGTTGTCTCATGATTCATTCTGAACAAGCACCGAGAGTGAACTGGGGACAAACTTGGGCTTAGATTGCCTCTAGTACTGAAACAATGGCAGTACACCAACAACGGACTCCCAGCAGACGTTGGCTCAGGCACCATACAGTGGTAGAATAGTGGAAATGATTACAGGCCTTCAGAGAAAAAAGGCAGCCACCTAGAATTTCTCAAAAGCAGGCAGAAACAAAACCAGATCAGAAAGGCTGGAACAAACTCCCAATCCTTTAATACCCAGGTAATGTTGCATGCCAGCAAGCATGAGTTTTCAGGAACCATGACCTCACCTAATAATGTGCCAGAAACTGACCAGACAATGATAAGTATGAGAGAATTCTCAGGGAATTTAAAACAGCAGCTTCAAGGCAAAATAAGGAGCTCACAGAAGATGGAAAAACATTCAATACTCTAAAAGAGAACCTTAACGCCCCCCCAAAAATAGATGAATTAAAAAAAAACCCAGAAATCCTTGAGATAAACAAACAGAAGCAAAATTTACAAATTCAAGCTGAACCGATCAAACAGAACACAGGAGTAGTGAATTCAAAGATACGCTGCTGAAAATGCAGTCAGAGAAGATAAAAAGAATGGAGAGGAATAAAGAATAATGGCAGAACTTTGGGGCAGTATTGAAAAAGTGAATGCTTGGGTGTTAGCAGTTCAAGAAGGACCTGAGATTGCCAAAGGTGTAGAAAGCACATTCACAGAGGTAAAATCAAAAGACTTCCAAAACCTAGAGAAAGATATGAATATTCAAGTATGGGAAATGTAAGTGGATTAAATTATTTAATGAAAAAACAAAGCATAATTGAATAGATGGGAGGAGAGAGAACTAAATTTTGCTCACAAAAATTTCATTTAACCTGGAAAAATATAGACAGACTGAAAATGAAGGAATACAATAAGACACTTCTTGCAAATGGAATCCAAAATAAAGCAGAAGTAACCATGGTTCAATATGGTACACTTTAAATAAAAAGCAAAGTAAAGAGAAAAGGAGGTCGTGATATAATGATATAGGAGTCAATACAGCAAAAAGGAAATCCAGATTTTATATATACGCTTAATAAAGGCAAATGTTAACAGCCCTAAAAGGAGCATAGACTCAAATACAATGATATCTGTAGACTTTAACACCCATTTGAGCAATGGAGAGATCATCTAGACAGAAAATCCACAAAGAAAAAGCAATGTTACATTTTCCACTAGACCAAGGGGCCTTAACAGGTATCTACAGAAATTCTATCTGACAAATGTCAAACACATATTTTCTGATCAGCACATAGAACATTGTCCAGGATAATAACATGTTGAGCCACAAAACATTTCTCAACAATTTTTATAAAATTGAAATCATATCAAATATCTTTTCTGACTACAACTCAAAAAAAACCCCTAAAAATCAACTGCAAGAGTAACATTGGAAGCTACAAATACACATAAATTAAACAGTGTACTTTTGAGCTAACTATGGATTCAGAAAGAAATCAGGAAGAACAAAATTGTTCTTGAAACTAATGAAAATGAAGGCACAACATACACATATCTATGCAAAACAATAAAAGTAAGAATAAGGAAGTTTATAACAATAAATATCTGCAGTGAAGAGCACAAAGTTGTCAAATAACCTTTCTCTTTTCCAAGAATTAGAAAAACAAGAAAAAGAAATTCAAATTAGTAGAAAGAAATTAAGATCACAATAGAAATCAGTGAAATGCGATTAAAAAATAGAGGATCAACAACAACAAAAATTTAGTTCTCCAAAAAGAAAAACAGAATGGGTAAGCCTTTTAGCTGCACTACAAGAGAGAAAGAAAGTTCAAATAGAAACAGGTGAAAAGGGAGATGTTACAACTGATATATTACAGGTATAAAAATCGTTAGAGATTTAATAAACAACTATATGCCAACAAATTTGACAAATTAGAAAATGAGCAAATTCCTAAATACATACACCTTATCAAGACTGAATTGTGCAGTAGAACATTTGGGCAAACCAATAAGTAACAATACTGAGCCATTAACAGTATTCTAGCAACAATGAAAAGTCCATGTCAGATGACTTCGCTCTACCAAAATCTTAGAAGAACTATTCTTGTCATTCCAAAAAGTTGAAAAGGAAGAAATTCATCCAGACACTTTCTGTGAGGCCATCATTACTTTGATACTGAAACCAGATAAGAATCTCAAAAAAGAAAACTGTAGGCCAATATCCGTGCTAAACATAGATGCAAGTACCTTCAGTAACAGCAGACTCCATGAACACATGAAAAAGATCACTCAGTGGTCAAGAGGGATGCGTCCCAGGGAGGCAGGGTTGATTCAGTATGTGCAAATCCATACACATGAAATGCCATCAACAGAATGAAGGATGAAGCCATATGATCATCTTAATAGGTACAGGAAAGACACCAGATAAGATGCAACAGTCTTTTGTGGTAAAAATGCTGAGAAAATTATCTGTAGAAGGAATGAAACTCAATGTGTCAAAGGCTACTTATTAGAAACCAATAGCTAATATTAAACTCAAGGAGGAAAAGGTGAAGCCTTCCCTCTAAAATCTGGAACGAAACAAGGATGTCTATTTCTATGTAATAGAGTACCTGAAGTTCTAGACAGAGTAGTCAAACAAGAGGAAAAATATATAAAAGGCATTGAAACTGGACAAGAAATCAAATTGCCACTGCTTGCAAATGACATGATCTTACATGTAGAAAATGCCAAAACCCCACTAAAAGAACTACGAGAACTAACAAATGAATTCAATAAATTTGAAGGATACATAATTAATCATACAAAAATCAGCAGTGAAGCTGTATGTAAATAAATCATCAGAAATAGCAATTAATAAAGGACTTCCATTTACAATAGCTACCCAAACATAAAATACCCAGGAATAATTTTAACCAGAGAAATGAAAGAAAAATTTGATAAAAGAAATTAAAGAAAACACCAAAATAGTGGACAGACATCCTATGATCATCGATTGACAGAATTAATATTGTTAAAATATCAATGATACACAAAACCACCTAAATATTTAATGTAATAACTATCAAAATACTGATGACATTCTGCTAAGAACTAGAACATAATCCTAAAATTTATATGGAACCACACACACACAAAACCTAAGTAGACTAAGCCACACTGAGTAAAAGGAACAAACTGGGAGTTTTTACACTACCTGATTTGAAAGCATACCATGAAGCTTTAGTTATTGAAACAGACACACACACCAACGAGACAGAATAAAGAGTCTGAAAGTGAAGACACAGATTTACAGCCAACTAAGTCTCAACAAACGTGCTAAGAACACCTACTGGAGAAAGACAGTCTTTTCAGTAAATGGTGCTTGGAAAATTGGATGTCCACATGCAGAAAAGTGACTCTAGAATCCTCTCTCTCACAGTTTAAATACAGCATTAAAAATTGATTAAAAACCCAAATGTAAGAAATAGGACCTGAAGCTATGAAAATATTGGAAAGAAATATAAGGGAAATACTTCTGGACATGGGAATGGGAAAGGTGTTTGATTAGACATCAAATTAAAAGCACAGGAAAAAAAGGCAAAATGGACAAATGGGATTACATCAAATTATAGAACTACATAGCAAAGAAACATACTGCACTGATAACCTAGAGAAAGGATGAAAATATTTGCAAGCTGTCCTTGGGACAAGGGGTTATTATATAAGAAACTCCAAATATTTAATAGCAATCACCCCACACACAAACATACACACACAAAATAACAACAACAAAAACAAAAACAAATTATAGAATAGGAAACAGACCTAAATAGATATTTCTCATAATAAGACTTACAGATAACCAACAGGTATAGAAAAAATATTCAGCATTACAAAACAGAAAAATTAAAATCAAAACCAAAATGAGGTATCACTCATTCTAGTATAACTGCTGTTATCAAAAACACAAAAAATAGCAAGGACTGGCAGGGTTTTGTAGAAAAGGAAACTTGTACACTATTGATTGGAATGTGCCAGCACAGAAAGCAGTGTGGCAGTTCCCCCCAAAATTAGTGAGAGAACTGCTGTATGATCCAAGAGTCCCACTCCAGGGTGTGTATGCTAAGGCAACGAATTGTGACATTGAAGAGGCATCTGAACTCCCAAGTCTACTGCAATACTATTCAATTAGCCAAAAAATGAAAACAACCAGAGTTCCTCAACAGATCAATGGATAAAGAATATGTGGTATAATATTATTTATCTGTAATACTGAAGAACATTTTGTCATTTGTGAAAACATGAACCCAATGGGACATTATGTTAAGTAAAATAAACCTGACACCGAAAGACAAGTACCATGTGATCTCACCTATGCAGAATTTTGTAAAAATTAGTTTTTTATTAGTATACATTTGTGATACATAATGAATAGATTCATTGGGGAGTATTGGTTCCTATTCATAGCTCATCTTGATCCTATTTTTACTTCTTCTTTCCCCCCTAAAATTGATCCTAAGGAATCTGAGAATAAAATCATTGTTCAGGGAAGTGGCAAAGAGGAGGAAACGGAGAGGAATGGGGCATTTGATCAATGGATCCTAAAATACGGCGAGACAGCAAGAAGTTTGGGTGTGATACCATATAGTGGGGTGACTAGAAATGACAATAATGTACTGACCATTTCAAAAATCCAGGACAGATTTTGAAAATTTTCACCACAAAGAAATGATAAATTTACATTTGTTTATTCTGATTTAAATGTTGAGCAATTTATCAATGTATCAAAATATTACATATGTATAATTTTTATGTGTCAATGAAAAAATAAATTAAAAATACAATAAAGCATCTTTAACACATAAGCTAGAATGTTCTAAAAATAAAATGTACAAAAAGCTGCATACTAAGTTATTAGAATGATTCTTTATCTTCAAAATACACATGATTTAACACAAGATCTGTGAGTAGAATTATATTACAGTGTTCAAATACCAAGAAAGGAAAGAAATGCATCTTTTTTTTTTTTTTTTGGTACCGGGGATCGAACTCGGGTCCTTGTGCTTGCACAGCAGGCAGCGAAACCACTGAGCTAAATCCCCAGCCCAAGAAATGCATCTTTAAATGGTAATTTAAAGTACAAAATCACAAAACATCATTTTGTGCACCTGAAATTGATAAGTGAAACAGTATAAGAGCAGAGAGTATAACTAGGATAGAAAGTAAAAAATAAACTGTAACATTGTAAATTCATTGTTTTATTATAAAAAGGTAATGAAATGGAAACAGAGAAACATAACTCTGAATATGCATATACAAAAATGTTCAATTTATGAAAAAAATCAAAGCCTGCATCAGCCGGCAATAAAAATATTTTAGTTTTCCTAAATCTGGGAGCAATTGTTACTGTCTATTCCTTGATCAGTTTTAGACAGTTTTCTCACAGACTCTTATGATTCCATACTTCCTTTTCTGTAATTGACAGCTGTCCATGAAGATGACCCAGACCACAGAGGTCACCACCAACTGGCCACCAACTGTGTGCTTGGGGACTCGGCACCCACAGCACAGCCTGGCCGCTGCTGACCGTGCTCCTGCATACTGTGCCTAGGGCAGAGCTGCCCATTCCTGGTGCCTCCGTGCGACTCCCGGCTCCACTCCAGCTCCCGGTTGGCTGCACCCAGCTGGCAGAGTGGGCTGACGGCACCTGAACTCGGCTTATGCCAATATATCCACCAGGTCTGGTGCCAGCTTCTGGTTGGTTCATCTGCCATTCACAGAGCTGGCTTTGCACTTGTTCAGAAATTAAACTCATGACTTGCCAGCAGTACTGCTTCATTTAAAACAAAATGTGAAAAAAAGTGCATGTAAAATCTGTGTGGACCCAAATGGGTGGGAGAAATTTTCTAGATAAGGACTGTTTAAAAGCAAATAGGAATGAGTTAATTATATTTGTATTATGTATATACTTCTCGGTGTATGAATTTAAAAACTACTCATGATGAAGATCATTGACCACTAACAAAGACTTTCTTCTCCTTCCTTTTTATCTTTCTTCCTCTCCCTCCCTCTCTCTCTCTCTCTCTCTCTCTCTCTCTCTCTCTCTTCCTCCATTCATTCATGTTGTCAGGCTCAAAATGCTTCTGCACATTCATTTCATTTGTAAGGGCGATGTGTCCCTGACCATTTTATGAACTGTGAAGGTGAGAAGATAGATAGTTGACCAAAACTGGTAGGAAGTTAGAATAATAAATACCTTCAAATTTTTCAACCATTAAAACTTTTCTTTCAGTAGCACAATGACTCTTTTTTTTACCACTCTTCTTAATCTGGGAAATAGATATTTTCTCTTTACAAACAAGTGAAGCTATATATGATTTATTACCCTATTTATCTATTTATAATTACCTTTATTATATGTTCATTTTTTATACGTATGCACATAAGATTGTAAAGATACATACTCTACCCAGTTCTGCTCTTTCTCATATAATATATATGATAGGTATGTAAGTATTATAAACATAAGCTATAATGTAAATATTCTTACATTATAAATCTGATGTAAAAATGTAGTAGTTGGCTAAAATATTTTAATAAGAAAAATGATGATTTTGCTATGTATTTCTGAACTGAAAGGTGGCATTGAAAACGTGTGTTACATACTAAGAAAGCACAGGATAAAACTAAAAGAATGTAGGTATTAGCTGAAGTATTTTAATGGTTTTAACTAAGTTCCAGAGAATATTGCAGATATCTGTGTTTTCATCATTTTAAGAACATGAATCATATTTAATTTGGTTGAATGAACATAAGGCCTCAGGGATATCATTTTAGTGTCACTTTATGTCAAACCAACACATTAAAACCAGTGGCCTGAATATTCAGATTCACTGGAGCAAAAAACATCCACCACAGCAAAAGGCCATGTAGTTGTACTATAGAGTGGTTTCACAGTAACAACTATCCTGAGGTTAGTCATATGACTTTTAGAATAAATGAAAAAGTAACAAAATGGAAATGTGGAGAAATAGAACTCTAAATATGCTTAAATATATACAAACATAACCTGTAAATTACATAGACCCCTATATAAATTGATGGTAAGAATTTCTACTCGATAGAACAGTCCTAAGACAAAATTGATTTCTCCTTGCTTTTTTTTTCTTGTTTAGTTTGTGTGGCCCCAGATCTGCTGTTGTGGAAAGCAGAGGGATGATTCCACCAAACATCTGTAATACCCAGCTGCACTCCGGCATGTGGCTGCCATTTGATGGATGGTGCACTTGAACGTAGATTTACAAATGTGGCCCAAGGCCAGTTTCCCCTTATTTCAACAATAAAACACTGTAAGTGTTAATATTAAGTGTTTACTGGAATGGAGAGCACAAAAGCTATTTCTAGCAAGATGCAGAGAATGAAAATGGGAGAATTAATCAGTGTTAGTGTTCACCATATCAGGCCCAAAGCTTATCACAGATGCCCACCCATGAAATGGCAGCTGTGCAGCCATGCAGAAAATCGCCATCATACACACTGGCAGTGCTATTACCTGGGCTGCCAACAGGGCACTCTCAAAAGTTCCATTTTGCCTATTGACCCCATGTGTTTCTCTCCTGCAAGTATAGATTCTCTCTTTGTTAAATGTAGAAACACAAGTTAAGATGCAAGAATACAACACGGTTTGATTAGGGGCTCCCGAAGCAGCATATCAAAACCTTATGGTCTGAAAAATGTTGAGCCTCAGAACTTCTGCAAAGTCATAAGCAGATGTATTTTACTCTTGCCTAAAGTCTGAACATTTGTCTGCAGAGAAAAGAGAGAAAACTTGACAGTTCTTTTTCCAAACCTACTTGAAATTAATCATAGTAACTGCAAATATAGTCTTGACAATTTTCAAAAAAGTTTGAGAGGAACTTCCCTGTCTGTTGGTGACTGCACATTGTAGTTATGATTAACAGATGTGGGATGGCCAAGTCCTTCTTGGTAACTTCTTGGAACCACTAGATGTTTTAAAAAATTTGCCTTTACTGTTTTTCACGGCAAGACTTTCAATGAAGCAAAACTTTTGTGACATAATTCTTTTTAACAAGTTGGCTTAACAGAACTGTCACTTATTTAACAAGAGAAGATGGCATTCTTAATTTAGTATTACAAGTAAGCTCAGAGTGGCTCAAATCCTTCATCCTATTTTACTTTGAATCCCGATAGTGTTGAAGATATCTCTGAGGCATTCAGAAGCGATTCATTTTTTTTCTCCTGAGTGTTCCCTATGGAAATTTATTTGATTTGGTTTTAGTTTACCTTTCTTTTTCACATTGTTTAACAATACACCTAGCTTCATATTCACATGGTTCTTTTCAGAGAAGTAAGCTTTTAGGCATTACTTAAAAACATAATAACAATTACACAAAATACATACGATGAGACTGTAGAGCCAGGTTCACTCCAGAAGTTTAGCAAATTGGCCAGCTAGGTAAAGGGTAAAAACAGTTAGATATGGAACCTTAACTCCAAGCTGAGGGATTTTGTCCATGTTCACTTTTACTATTGCTGACTTCCAAGGCTTTCCTATTCTCTTTCACTCATTCTTAATATGTCTTACAATTTTATAGAATATAGACTTGAATGTATAACATCAAATCTAATCAAAGAATTTAAATGATCAAATATTGATGAAATTAGAATCTCTCTGAGAATTATTATCTGGAAATACAAATATACATAAACTCCTGAAACTTTGAACAGCAATTTTATTGGTATGATTTACAATGGAAAAAGGAAATGAATCTAGTGTGTATTATAATTCTAAATGACAAGGTGAGTATCTTTGAGTATTTTCAGTGAAAGAAATCAAATGGCTCTAGATAACATGGCTAGAAAAGAGAATGAAAAAGTTGGAATTTTCAATTATCACGGTAGGGAAGGTAATCAGGTTTTCTCTTATACTGCCAACAAAGAAATTAGAACAGATGACCTTTGCTTGGACATTTCCAAACTTAATGGCCCTGTTACCATGCCCAAATGCCACCACCTAAAGGCAACCAACTCTGGGAGTGTGCCCCAGTGAAATTAACCCTGCAGCATGTGAGCAGTAATCAGTGCCTGGATAAAGCCACAGAAGAGGACAGCCAGGTGCCCAGCATTAGAGACTGCAACGGAAATATTCTGAGACCAAATTTACAAAAAAAGAAAAAAAGAAAAGAAAAAAAAAAGAATTGACTGGGCTACCTCAGCATACATTTCTGCCACATTCTTAAGCAGCAAAAAAGGAAAAGTGCTTTCCTCCTCTGCAGGATGTAAGGTTTATCAGCCATTAAAACTCAGACTCCTCTCGCTTTTCACTAGCTGTGAACTGGCCTGCCTGTCCAAGGACGTGAAACCGCATAGTCGTGAGACTGTGCACACTGATGTTTACAAGATGGAAAGAGTCTTTCATCAAGAGACATGGGAAAGAATATTCAGGCAACAAAACTTAATCAACAAAATGTGCTTTTGAAGAATTCCGCCTTTCGTGGTTTGCTTGCGCATCAGTAATTTCTGCTAAATGTGCTGTCATAACGAAGATATTTCCAAGATTTTTTCCTGATTAGAACTGGTAGCCAGTATATTAACTATTGATATACAAATAGATGAAAAAGAACTGGAACCAGATTCACAATCATGAAAACAACATTTTTACAACAATTAAAAAAACACTAGAGCTGGCCAGAGTGCCCGGGCGATCATGGCTCAGCTTCCCCAAGAGCAAAAAGCAAAGATTGCAGAACAAGCGGCCATCTTCCAAGAAGAAAAGAGCAAGCTGGATGCTGAAGTGTCTAAATGGGATGACAGTGGCAATGACATCATCGTGCTGGCCAAGCAGATGTGCATGATCATGATGGAGATGATGGACTTCACCCGAGGTAAAGGGCCGCTCAAAAACACATCAGATGTGATCAGTGCTGCCAAGAAAATTGCTGAGGCAGGATCAAGGATGGGTAAGCTTGGGCGAACCATTGCAGACCATTGCCCGGACTCAGCCTGCAAGCAGGACCTGCTGGCATATCTGCAGCGCATAGCCCTCTACTGCCACCAGCTCAACATCTGCAGCAAGGTGAAGGCTGAGGTGCAGAACCTCGGCGGAGAGCTCGTTGTCTCCGGGGTGGACAGCACCATGTCCCTGATTCAGGCAGCCAAGAAAGTGATGAATGCTATAGTGCAGACAGTGAAGGCATCCTACATAGCCTCTACCAAAAAACTACATTAAACAGAGTTTAAAGAAAATTTAAGAAAGAAAAAGAAATCAAATGCCAAACATGACTCAGCAAAAATAAAGGTGAAACGTGAAATTCAAGTGTATGTGATAAGAGATAAACAAACAAAATGAAATAGACATTTATAAATAAAGATGTTTAATCAAATCTACTTAGGAGTGTCTCCCCAGAGTATGCAGTTAATAGAAATAAGTTTCATGCTAAGACATAACTGTTGCTCCAATTGTTTAATCCAACAAAACATGACTTTTAAAGGTAACAGGAATCATGAATTAGGGTAGATACTATAAGGTAGAATAAATAAAGTAATAGTTGCTGAATTTACTTTTTGTGAAATCATCCTTAACTCACTCTCATACAGAAAAGAAAACAAAAATTCATCCAGAATAATGTAATTGCTTGGGCCTTGTATGAGAAAAAAGAAACTATCTATGAGTAAAAATAAATTTAAGTTAAGATAAAAAAGAAAAGATTAGGTACCAAGAAAGAATACTTTCCACTTCTGTGCTTGAGAAATGCCAGGATTATTTTATTGCAATTACTTTTTGCAGGCCCATTGACTTCGCATCTCACTTGTCATGATAATCTTAAACATACAGCATCCATCATAAATTTAAAAGAGCAAACATTATGGTCCATTTGAAAAGGAGAGTTTGATGATTTACAAGGAAAAACAAAAATTCAAATTCCATACAAATTTCATACAGAATTCTTAACCCTTTTAATCACAAAACCTTTTTGTTCATTACTAAAATTTGAGACAGTGTAAACAGAATTTTATTTTCATGTAGATTTTCAAAACTTG